GTAGTCTTCACATGGCCAACAAACGCCAAAAATAACGAAAATCAGTTTCAGATGGAGAACCTCTTCAATTTTTTTATTCTCCAGCATATCTCGGAAGTTATCCCATAGTTTCGACTTCAAATTCACGGTTTGATAGTACTAGTGCAAAAATGCTATTCGGTATCAATACAATAACATGTTGCAATATCGTAAATGATTAAATTTTCAACTCCGAATATTACATTTCTTGTGTCCTGATTGCTCCACTCAGCTCCGGTCATCCGCTCGTATTCCGGGTTACCTTGTACAAAATGCGTTGCGCCAACTGTTACGGGGATGATAAAAGTTCCAGATATCCAAACGTTCAGGATTTGATGAAATTTAATAAAACAGTTATTCCATTTGCGCTTGTTGGATACGAGATTGGTCGTAGCCAACTCGGCGCCACTCACCTCGTTGGCCATTTACCATACCAAATCCAATTCAGTCCCAGTCTCCCAGACTCGCGACCAAAACTGTTCTAACATTGCTACTTGTAGAAATAAAACAATTTTTTTGACGCAAATATCCTTTACAGGCAATTAAACTCAAATGTGTGCATGGAACAATGCATTTTTCTTTCTTGGAAGAAAATTTTCGTTACGTTTCATATAACGTGTGTACCACGCACAGAATGATTGGATTTGTTTGCTACTCTAACGACATTCATGTAAAAGTCTCAAAACTCATTATCACCACTATACTTATGCAAGCACTCGTGGTTCAGTGGTAGAATTCTCGCCTGCCACGCGGGAGGCCCGGGTTCAATTCCCGGCTAGTGCATTTTTGCTTTTGGCAGTGCTTCCAGTATGACAATCTAGCCTCTAGAGTTACCGAATACGGTAAAGAGTTTAATTTTTTTTAACACTATTTAGTGTACTCTTTTTTCTATTTTATTCTATCGTTCGTGCAACACTCGTGACTTTTTTGGGGTGAACCACGAGACATAACCTTTTCCCGTTGTGCCTTATAGGAACACGCATGGTATTCCTTGATGACACGTATGCATGGTGGTTAGAATCAAAAAGAGAAGTAGGAATACAGAACCGTCCTAGCAGCCCCTAGTTTAACAAGCTACGGCTGGCAGATCGCATTATAAGCCAACCTCGTCCCCATGGCCTTTCCCTTACTTGGGAGTGGGGCGGCCTTTTCATGACTTTTCATTATGAGCTGAGCAACAATTCTATAATATGCACTTTAACATAGATACACGATGAGGAAACCAAGAGAACCGTGTTTCCTTATGTTCTCGTAAGGAAACAGGAAATAAACAAAAGAAAATAAAACGAGGCAAAATGATCGATAACGGGAAGAAGAAAAGCGGACAAGATGGGGATACCACAACGATTAAAAAACTCATTTAGCTGGACAACGCAACAAACAAAAAAAATTAGATGTGAAAACTGTTTTAGCGAACACGCTAAGGCTAAGAGGAAATTCCAAACATTACGAAAACAAAAAACAAAAACAACTTAACCCTATCCTATCTACAGGTTGAATAATGAGATTAAGAAGGACTGAACGATAAAAAAAGAAAATCAGTGAGATTAGAGGCCACTTTTGGAATTTGAGCTTGCTCCAACTTGTCCAAGGAGAGTAAAGCTGCGCGGGAGGGGGAGGGGGTGAGAGTTAGTTAAAAACGGTTCATTATTTGGTGAGAGGTTTCAATAAAGTAAGAAGAAATGTAAAACTGTGGTCTAACAGGAAAATTAACACAAACACTTGGGGGGACATTATTTAACACACACTGAAGAACAACTCAATGTGTTGTCGAACTTATTCTGGCCACGTCCGAATCTATTAATCGCCACACATTAAGAACGTTCGTATTAAAAACAAAAAAAAAACAGAGTGTATGCTGCTAAGGTAGGGACCCCCCCTTTTTCCCTTTCACCCTGTTATAATGTCTATCTTCGCCCGTGCCTATGACATCCACACAAAAGGCATATTTCGTCCATGGCGAATAGAGACAAGTCGACTCGTTTCCTTTGTATTGTTGACTGTTGTTATCGTTTTTAATTTTTTTTATTTTTTTGTTTTTACACCATTCCAACATTTACAAACAACTTACAGGCTCTAAAATTGGCCAGTGGGTATGTGTCTGTCTTTTTTCACTTGACACCAGTATACCATTTTAAGATTTTTCTGTTGCAAAACTAAAATATCACCGAGATCGAACGTTCTATCAGGACTCAGCCAGAGGGTGGCCTTCACTATTTTACGCAGCAGGTAAGAACTCGTCTCTTAATTCGATTCGTAAACTGTACATGATCTATGGAGTTGTTAACGTACTTCTGCGCCATCTAATAACGAACAAACGCATTCTGAACAAACAGAACGACAAGGTTGAATGAAAAATGTCGATATGGCCTCAAAATTGCGTGTGTTTGCCCTAATATCAGTTCTTAGCAAAAAAAAATACAACAAAACCTCTCGAGTGAATTGCTCTTAGGCTCGACACCGGCGGAATATATAGGCAAGCTCTCGGAAGATTGACAATTTATTCTGAGCAATCTTCAAATGGCCTAAAAACTATTTAAGAATAATTACTGACGCCATTGTCACCCAGTCTTAATGAAGTCGGAAACCTAATTACCTAATATAATTGTAGGCATGATGAAGAAATGAAGTTCATATATTCATCATATCTGATTTATCATCACGGGTTTATTACGAATCAACTTAACGGCCTACACCCAGTTGGCTTGTTAGCTCAATTGGTAGAGCGCTGCACTAGTATCGCAGAGGTCAGTGGTTCGAATCCCGTACAGGCCTGATTTTTTTCAGACACGTATAAGTGCGATTCCAATACGATTTAATCTGATATCAAACATAATAAAGAATATTGTATTGTACAAGGAGCTAAACTAAAATAATAATTATTACATAACAACACAAAGGTAGAGCTCATAAACCCTAACAACAATCGATCAAATAATAAACGAAAACAACAAGGGGAGAGAAAAATACGCTTATCGATTGTCCTCTCTGTACGCCTTATTAACCAAAAGTCGCAATTGATCGCAGATAACTTTATCGCAGATAACTCTATCGCATTAACTCTCCTTTTAGCGACAGCGCATGAG